CAACAACAAAGCACGCCTACGACATTTTTACAGATGTAAACAATGTTTGCATATCCGTACCAGACGCTGTCAATTGTTGTGCAAATAAAACTTAATAATTAAGCAATATTATAAAAAATATAAGCTCTTACCTTTTATATATGTAAACTGCATACCGGAACACACTTTATAACACTTTATAAACACTACTTGGTTGTGAAATAATTATTGTTCATTTTGATCACTTATTGCACTTGCACTACGAGATGTTCACTGTTCGGTAGCTGACGCACTAATGAGCTGCGCGCTAATTAGCACCGCCTTATATATGCGGGTTGGAGGCTACTCGCGTAGGGGCTCCTGTGGGTGAAAGAGCCTCCGGAAGAAAACATAATCCCTGTCTCAAATTTGTTAAATATTGCAAAATAAATCAAAATTTATGGGCAAAACATCATATATATGTTAAAAACTAGCTAAAACGCACTAATTAAGCTCTATTCGTTAGTAATTAACTTACTAATTAAGCACTATTCGTTAGTAATCAAACATTACACAATAACCAGTTGTATGAATTCAAAGTAAACAGAAACAAGCAATTTGAAATAAATTCGTTAAAACCACACAATGACACTATGTAAAAATGATTAAAAACATTATACTTGGCACAATAAGTTTGCAGTAAACTTTTGGCAACCGATTTCTATACATTTATTTTACAAATTTGAGTTTATATAAATATATAACCACAAAATTTTTGTTATTCTTTCAGATTTAAACGTCAAAATTAAATTCATGTAAATTGATAGCAGTGAAGTGTGCCACATAATTGAAACTTTGCAAAACATCTTGTTTGTAATTGTGTTTGTATCAAAACTAAAAATATTTCAAAAAGTACATCAGGATATGATAAATACCTATTAAAATGTAAGTATTAACTATTAAAACATTATCGTAATAATATTTATATAAACTTTGTGCAAACTTGTGTAAATGTTTTTCACAAGTCTTATCAGTCAAATGTCATGTCAGTTCAACTACCATTTTAATTAAAAATGCTGTATTTATTGGTGAATTTTGTTTAAAGATTATTTATAGTACAGAAATCTGTTACATTAATACCGTGACTATATTAGCAATAACTTAATTTATTTAAAAACGTAATATTTGATACACATTAGACACTTCTCTATACAGCTGTAGGTTTCTCTATATTTGCATAATTATTAATAATAAAATTAACTACACAGTATGCATAAACAAATTCTTATTATTTAGGTTGTAATGGAGAACTTGTGCAGATATTTGGATTATTCTACTTATTCAGGATAATATAACCTTTGTTATAATGATGACCAAGGACACACATTGCAAATGCGAATAAAACAGGTTACTAAGTTTACTTACAGAAGATTATTTGTAAATACTAGATTATATTCTAATAAGATAAATAAGTAAAGATACTTTACTTAAGTTTATTATGATTTTATCATTAAATCAGGAGGATATCATAGGAGGTAATTATTCTCGATTGTTAATCTATTTCAATAAGTTACACAGAATTTCTGTCAAGAAATAAGCACAAATTAAGTCAAAGCTTATAAGACTCTTATATGCAGTATAAGGTACTATAGGTTTCTCTATATTTGCTTAATTATGAATACTAACAATAACTGCACAGAATGTATATTTATATTATAATTGTTTAGATTTTAATGAAGGATTTCTGGAGATATATGGATTATTATATATCGGGACAATATAACTTTGCTATAGACATGACATGAAAAAGCTCATATTAAAATGGAAATGACAAAGATTACTGAGTCCACATAAAGATTATTGTTTGAATTTCAACAATTATAGGTAATTTACTCGTGAATTTATTGTTAAATCAGAAGAAATATCTTAAGAGGTAATTATTCTCCACTATTAACCTAATTAATTAATAATGTTGCACAGAATTTCAGTTGAGAAATAAACACAAAAATCATATCAAAGCTTATTAAACCCTTATCTGCAATATAACTATAGATTTCTATTATTGCATTATTATTATTAGTATGCATTATTATTATTAGTAAGAATAACTACACAGAATATATAATTAGATTATGTGTGTTTAGGTTTTAATGAAAGATTTACAAAGATATGTGGAATATTCTTCTCATTCAGCACATTATAACTTTGTAAGGATAATGACGAAGGGCACACATTGCAATTGCCAATAAATGAGGTTACTAAGTTCACTTTAATATATTCCAATAATTAAAGATAATTACTGTTACATCATGTATTTATTAGTTAAATCAGGAGAATTATCATAAGAAGTAATTAAACCTTAGTTAACCTATTTGAATAATGTTGCACAGAATAATGTCTCAACAGAAGTTGAGGATTAAACACAAAAATTAAGTCAAAAATTATTAGACTCTTATATGCAATACAACTATAGGTTTCTCTACTTTTGCCTAATTCTTAGTAACAAGAAGAATGACTACACAGAATGTATAACTATGTAATATTACTATATTTACTCGGCACAATATAACTTTGATATAGAGATGACATGCAAGAGCTCACATTAAATAGCAATTAAAAGAGTTTACTAAGTTTACTTCAACGTTCAACAATTATAGAGAATTTACTCATAAATTTATTGTTGAATCAGAAGAAATATCAAACGAGGTAATTATTCTTTATTATTAATCTAATTAAATAATGTTGCATGGAATTTCAGTTAAGAAATAAACACAAATCAAATTGAAGTTTCTTAATCAATATTACATGCATGTGTATGTATAAAAAAGCAGGCGAATGAATATGATATGATATAGATTATATAGTTATCAGTACTATATATAATGAAGTATAAATCAATATATACATTTATATATCCAATTTTCATAAAAATCACAAATACTAGACCATATATAATGATGTATTAATCAATATATACATGTATATATCAAATTTACATACAAACCACAAAGACTAGACTATATATAATGAAATATAAATCAATATATACATTTATATATCCAATTTTCATACAAATCACAAATACTAGACCATATATAATGATGTATTAATCAATATATACATTTATATATCAAATTTACATACAAACCACAAAGACTAGACTATATATAATGAAATATAAATCAATATATACATTTATATATTCAATTTTCATACAAATCACAAATACTAGACCATATATAATGATGTATAAATCAATATATACATTTATATATCCAATATCCATAAAAATTACAAAGACTATAAACATAAAATAATGTATAAATCAATATATACATTTATTTTTCCAATTTTCATACAAACTACGAAGAATATGCCATATATAATGATGTATAAATCAATATATGTGTACATATCCAATTTCCATACAAACTACAAAGAAAGCCAATTAAATGAATCTAATAGAACAAGATAAAATCAAAATACATTACAATCAATATACATTTGTAATAAAGCAATATATTCATGCAAAAACCTATTTATTTGAGAAGGAATGCATGAAATTTAATTTAATGGACACTTTTTAATTATTTCAGTGAAGGAATTTAAAATTACAATTTTAGTCCTTTGAAGCATAAAATTTAAATCTATGTTCTAATGAATATTGATTGTAAACACAAATATATGCTATGAAGATATATAATGCAAATAATCTATTATAATTATAATAAGCGCCTTTAGAAAGAAAAGTATTTTCTGACAAAGTTGAAACTAAATATTGATGGGAACTATTTTTTAATATAAATATATTATGTAATATTAGTAATAGTACTATTATTATCACTTATAATAATTCAAGAAGTATTTACATGAAATCTAGTAAAAAATATAAAGTAACAATAGCTTACATTTATATAGTATACGTTTTGAAAATTTCACAGAACAAACTTAAAAAAAAAAGTAAATCGAACTTTGTATTATATTATTACAAATTAAATGACTAATTAGTATTTAACTGCTAAGAATACTTAAATGGTAAATTTAATTAATTCTCAATTTAAGAGAATCACTAACAGACAAAGGTTTCTCTGATAAAATTCTTTATTACTACTAAATTTTTACATACTATTCACTTTCATGCTTTTGAATTAATTAATCATACTTTGTTTATACCTTATGTGCTTTATATAAACATATGAATGTGCTTTTTAACATATTTCTAAAGACTTTGATTTCGATTCAGGTTCAAACCTCCAAATCAGAACCAATTCTTTGTGGAATTTCAAAGAATTGTTGACTGCAAGGATTTTCATCTGCTTTTAAACTAAATAAATATAATATAAAAAGTATATTATTGTTAGAACATTTGGCAAAAAGTCTACAAACCAAATTAAAGTATTTGTACCATGTAATTTAAATTACATACTTTTATGAGTGCTGAATCAGTTCGCATGCAACGACAGATCTCTATTCACATACGCGACGACTAATCACAATCGACCCGTATAGAAATGATATCATCGAGAGCGAATGACAAATCATTGGGGCACTCGACCTTTGTCTTATCTTATCTGCCGTAACGCACTTCCGTTGCATTTGTACGAATTTACACCCTAGTCGCGCCTAAAGAAGTTTTACTTCAGAAATAAAATATTTGTAAGCAGTTTGTGAATATCGGAGCAAGCGAGAGCAAATGACGAATCATTGGCACTCCACTCTTACCTTATCTTATCTGCCGTAACGCACTTCCGTTGCATTTGTACGGATTTACACCCTAGTCGCGCCTAAATAAGTTTTACTTAAAAAATACGTTGTTTGTGAACAGTTTGTTTTTGAATTTTTAAAATAAACTACATATTTGTGCGACCCTGGTTTCTTGGAAATATTCTTACGTGCTGAGCGCCTGATACATTTGACAGCTCCAACAGCGAGGACGTCATTTGCAATTTGACTTTCAATGCGAAAGCATGCCAAAATTTAATTGTTAAATTATTAGATTTAGTGTTTTAATTGTGTGTGTTATGATTATATCTTTGTGTTTTTGTGTTTTAATTGTGACAGTGTATTGCAGATGTAAACATTGGGAAACTGCCATAACGAACTTCAAAAGTCAAATTATTCAAAAGTTTGTCAAACAAGAAACGTCTTCCATGTATGATTGCATTTGGATCTGAAAGTTTATGGTAATACATAGATAAGTTAATACGATAAAGATACATAAATAATAGATAGTTATACTTACATAAATAAGCATAATGTAGTTATATATGTTATTTGTGTATTAATAAATGTATGTACTTTTAGGTTATATTTTTGTCACTATGAATGCTTCTAAGTATTATGAGTTATATAACGCAGAATTTGCGAAAGCAAAACAATTAATTGAATGTGATAATTTGACATACCTAGATGATCATTCACACCACTACCCTTTTCTTTGCAAAACCCATGCGCTTCACCAACAGGAACTTCATAGATACCTTCTTGATGTTTATTTCAAGCGTGATTTGTTCGAAAAATGCATCACTCTTCCTCTCCACACTTCTATCATTGCTGGAGATTTAGCTACTTTTAAGTATCTTTTTGCTAATATTAATACGATTGAGCACGGCCACACTGTTCTTCATTCGGCCATTGGATGTGGAAATGTAGAATTAGTGCAGTTGCTTTATCAGAACGGTGTTGATGTCAATTGGAAGTACGATAATAATTATTATCCATTGCATATTGCAGCTGCTATAGGATACAAAGATATGGTATGTTTTCTTTTACAACGTGGGGCTCTAGTGAATATGCAGGACATGTTTGGAGATTCAGCTTTGAGCCTTGCGGTTAAAGGAGGGTATTTGAATGTTGTTTTAGAACTGTTGAAGTACAAACCGAGTGCTAATATTTTAAGTAAATCGCTCAAGTATGCATTTTCTAGATCCGGTGATGTATTCATTGATATTATTGAAGCTCTTCTTAAATATATAGTTTTAAACGAACATCCAACTGTTGTGTGTGAAGTATTGAATCACAGAATTTGTTGGGTTAAAAATGGACAAAATTGTAGTTATACGCTTTTACAATCCATAGCTATCAGAAAACAAACTAAACTCATGAAGTTGTTAATTAGTTATAATGTCGATGTAAATGCACGTGATGATCTTGGTAGAACAGCTTTGCACTTTTTTAATATCTATGACGAGTGCCCATACAAATGCCCAAGAGAGTCTTTTGCATGGTCTAAAGTCGATTGCGCTGAGTTATTATTAAAGAATGGCGCTGATATAAATGCTCAAGATAATCTTGGTTGTACACCGCTTCATTATGCTGCCAAAAATGGTCACATCGAACTTCTAACCATTTTGTTACTGCACAACGCTGATTTGAATATAAAAGATAAAAATGGATGGACTCCTCTGCATGAAGCTACTGCTGGATTCCATGGTTTCTGTGTTAAAGTTTTAATAGAGAATGGAGCTGAAATCAATTGCAAGACGAATAACAATGAAACACCATTGCACATATGTGCTAAAAAACCTGATACTCAATTTTTAACTAAAATCCTTCTCGACTACGGAGCAGATATTAACGCAACTGATATTAATGGCAATACAGCCCTCCATATTGCTTCGGATAAACAAAATCATTTTCAAATGCTTCTGGACTATGAGGCTGATATAAATGTTATCAATAACAACAATGAAACTTGTTGTAAATACGATACCGATAGGTTGGTATGCAAAAAAATACACAGGTTCACTCTTCTGGGTGATAGAGTTGATAGTCAAACCGAACTTTGTGAAATATTATAAGCATATGAGAAGTGGTTTAATTAACTTTCCGTAGGGTAAGTTATAGTAGTAAAAAAAGAATGAAAATGAAAATGTTTATATATCTTTACATTTCAAAGGTTTTTGAACATTTTGGCATACCTTGGAAAAAATCGATGTATGTGTGTGTGTGTATGTGTGTGTGTGTGTGTGTGAGTGTGTGCGGATACAACTTTTCGTCGACGATTTCGGGAACACCGATCAACCAATTTGAATAATTCAAAAAACATTCGATTCGTATGGATAAGGAGACGTGCTGATTAGTTTTTGGCAAAGGCAGGTCTAGTCGTTCTGAAGATACGGACAAAAAGTGCCAAAAACGGTAACTCAGTTTTTAAGAGAATAGAGCGTCCGATTTTAATAATTCAAAAAACATTTTACTTGTATTGACAAATTGAAGAACCGATTAAATTTTTGGGAAGGCAGGTCCGGCGGTTATGGACCCTCAATAAAAATAAGTTAAAAAAATGTCATTTGACGGTCAAAAATGTTCATTAGACATATATGTACATCAAATTATCAGATATTTTATAGATATTTTAATAATGTGTACACATTTTGTGTAATTTTTTTTTAGGTTCCGTACCAAGATTTTAAATTCTCGTATTTAGTTCAAACATCAAAATGTTCTCGACATTTTCTCGTATGGAATAACCAATTTCTATATTTGAAAAATCATTCGGTTCGTACTCGATCGCGAGGCGTTTTTGCAAAAGGCAATTTTGCCGTTTCGGAGGTATGGAGCGCAAAGGGTGTAAAGCCGTTAATGCAGTTTTTGACAGAACGGATCATCCAATTAGATTAATTCAAAAACATTTTGCTTGTGTAGACAGTGTGCAAAAAATGCTTTTACAGAAAATTTCGTGATTTTGAAAATTTTCAAAAAAAAATTCAAAATTTTCAAAAAAAAATTAAATTTTCAAAAAACTCAAATTTTTTAAATTTTCATCATTTTGAAAAAAAAATCTAAATTCCGAAAAATTCGAAAAATATCAAAACTAAAAAACTACACAAATTAGAGAATATTTCAAAATTTTCAAAAAAAAAATCGGATTTTTTCAAAAAAAAAATCTATATTTTCAAAAAAAATAAATTTTCAAAAAAACTCATTTTTTTTTAATTTTAAATCTAAATCTAAATTTTGAAATATATCAAAATTAAAAAAAAGATTTTTCATAAAAATTTGAGATCATTTGGAAATTTTCAAAAAAATCGGATTTTTTCAAAAAAAAACCAAAATTTTCAAAACGAAATCAAAATTTCAAAAACTCATATATTTGAAATTTTTCCTAATTTTGAAAAAAAATCTAAATTTCGAAAATTCGAAAAATATCGAAGTTAAAAAGAAAGATTTCTTACAAAAATGTGAGAATATTACGAAATTAAAAAAAAAATCGGATTGTTTCAAAAATTTCCAAATTTTCAGAGAATTTAAACAAAACGATTTTTTTTTCAAAAATTCCAAAAAATTTCAAAATTGTCAAAAAAATCAAATTTAAAAATACTGAACAAATTTATTGTGAACATACACATAAACAACTTTGTTTTTATTAAGCACTTATAAATTTACAGTATGTATTTATAATAAATAATCTATTTGAAATTATTCATAACAATTATTGATTATTTTTATTTCTCCAATGTTTAATTACGGTACGGGAACTTCCAGCAATTTGCCTTAAGGCACGATGCCATGCTCTCACTAGTTTTTATAATTAAACCACTTCTCATAGGCCTATAATATTTTACAAGGTTCGGTTCGACTAAAACTCTATCACCATGCAAAGTTTCATCAAAATTCCAGAAGAGTAAACCTGAGGACTCCCTTATTAGTGTTATTTACGCTATTTAACATTAATATTTTTTATTACAGATTTTTCATGATACACTTTATAGTCAGATTGGTATTTCAACGTTTAGAAGTCAATGAACAAAATTTAGCAGTTGTGCAACAGTGGTTCCGTGCAGATAGAACAAAAACACTTATCGAAATGATTTATTGCGTATGGGAAATTAGAAACATGTCCGGGGAAGTAATTAATCATACTAACATAACTTTTAATGATTTCATACTAAAAGATATACCGTCGATAGTGAAGTTAATTCAAAACAAACATGTTTTGGAAGCTTTAGAAACTAGTAGATATGCATCCAAGTATCCATTGCATGCTCTTTTCATAAAATGTAAGCTTACAAGAGCTCTTCTGAGGAAGAGATTAGTAGAAGACTGTCATAAGATTTCACATATTATTTTTCCCTTTTTGCCGCACATTTGTGTTGCACAAATTTTAAGTAATTTGGGAAACATCGAATTGATTCGTTTGATGGTTGCTGCTGAATCTCAGGGAAAATCATTACAGGTAAAAATGAGATATAATTTATAAGAGACAGGGAAGATTTCTTTTTTATTATGTAACAACGACTGATTTTAAAAGACTTATTAGTGAATTAAGTAAATATAGTTGAATAGTATATTGTTATTATGAATATCGTTTATATATGAATAGTATATAATTATTATGAATATAGTTTATATATAAATAGTATATATATAGTTATATTGTGTAGAGCTTCATACAAAGATTTTAATGTAATAAAAAACAAAATGTTTTTAAAAAAATTATTTATTAACTTGATTTTGATTAGATATAAGCAAACGAAATACTTATATTAAGTATATATAAAAAATAAGCAATAGTGGATTTTAATAAAATTATGAAAGGGTGGAAATTATATAAAATACTAGCAAACCCGACGGACTCCGTTTCGCCACCAGATGGTTTCGTGAGAAAGATGAAAAAATTCTTTGTTTGTTTTATATTTGAAAAGGAAAAATTTGATTTTATTGCACAACAGTAATGAATTTATTTAGATTACAAAAATGAAGTATTTTTTAGTTGAACTTCTCTAAGTAAATGAAAGTAAATCCGCAAATTTTCCGTTTCATTGAAGTGCTCCTTGGTAAACCACATTTTTTGTTTTTTGGTCTGACGTTAACACAAACAAAGCGGATGGTTTTCCAACTCGTGAACAGGCAACGTATAACTGCCCATGTGAAAAACAATGATTTTCTAAATAATCTATTCGAAATTTATCCCGCCAACACTAAGCGATTGGCCTTGCGACTTGTTATTGCGAACGCAAGGCGAACTGGAAATTGCAATCGTTTGAAGTCAAACGGAAGACCAGTCGGAATCATTGGTATGTCACCAAATCGCCAGCAATTTTTGACTGAATTGTGAAATTCAGTGCGTGTACATCATTATTCTTTGCGGCAAGAATTGCTCGTTGACTTAACCAAGCATAATTAAATTACGGTGCGTGAAGTTCCAGCAATTTGCATTAGGGCACGATGCCATGCACAACTAATTTTCTTAGCTATAAACCTTGCGGAGCCCGAGACATTTCCAACGAATGCAAAATTGTCGAAATCGGTTCGTGCGTTCTGGAGTTAATTCGTCAGGAAGGAAAACCCGACTAATTTTTATATATAGATAAGCAAACCGAAACAATATACTTAAAAAATAATAAATACTACAGGATTTTAATAAAATTATGAAAGGATGGAAATTATATAAAATACTAGCCCATCCGACAAGCATTAAACAACTGTTTTGCCATAAAAAATATTTCTTGTATTAAAATAACTAACGGATTGCAAATGTGGTGCATAAGTGAAAGGTAAATATAGTTATATTGATGGTTTACCCACTGCAAAGCATACCACATTTAAATAATTATATATTGAATGTTTGTTCTAACAAAAAATCAAATTTTTTGCTAGAAATTTTTGAACATTTTGCCATACTTTAGTAAAATTTGATGTATGTAGGTGAGTGTGTGTGTGTTTTTTTTTGTATAGCGAAAGAAATTTCTTTTTCCATCCCACACTAGGTCTTTTGTCTGGGTATGTAGGACCTGGGTATAATACCGACTAAAACTTCCGCTTTGCCCTTGCTTCCGGTTTCCACGGTAACCGCCGTTAGGCATTACTTAGTGGGGGGAGGATCTAGAATGTTACGGAGACAGAGCAAAGAGTGCAGAAAATAAAAATTAAGTTTTTGAGAGAACCGAGCATCCGATTTGAATGATTCAAAAACATTCAGTTCGTAATGATGGGGAAAATGGGTGATTAGTTTTTGACAATGGCAGTTGGTGTGGTTTTAGAGATACTGAGCTAAATGTGCAAAAAATGGCAGTTTTTGAGTGAGCTAAGTATCCGATTTGAATGATTCAAAAAACCTTTGGCTTGTATTGACGAAACGATTATTCTTGGCAAAAGCAAAAAAAAAATTTTTTTTCACTTTTCAAAAAATATTTTTTTCAATTTGAATATCAGAAATATTTCGGACTTTATTTTTAATTCTAACTGCGATCTAAAACTCACTAATATACTTGAAATGAATGATTTTAACTTTGCAATTCAGTTTATACAATTTTTAGAAATATGAGATAAGGTCCCTTGTTCTAACTCCGTTTGATCAAGTTGTGCTTATTTACTTTTTATGTAAACGTATATAAACGTAATCGTTCAATTTATAAGCTTTTATATTTTGTCTATAAAATATAAATAACAAAGTATTTATAATAAATATATTTGAAAGTATTTAATATTCTTCGAATATTTCATTACGGGAAGTTCCAGCAATTTGCCTTAAGGCACGATACCATACACCACTAATTTAATTATTTGTGTTTGCAATTGGTATATTTAAAGGTAAGATATAATATCAATATCAATAATAATAATAATTAAAACATATTTAGTTTTAATAAATCAATTTTAAATTTTGAATTTCGCGGGTTAAGTGCCTAACTTCAACTTGGTTCAACTGTCATCCGATTTTGCACAATCTCAATTGTCAATTTGACATTTCGCTACTTAGTACATTTTCATAACTTTGAATAAATTATAAATATGTAAAATCATTGCTAGCGCAACTTAGATATTATTTTATAATAATAAGTTTTAATAATACTCCAACAATGTCTGACTTCCAAAAATACAACAACGAAACAAAAATATCTGTCACATCCACTGAAGAAATTGACAATGTTATTTATTATTTAATAGAAGTAAAGATCGACAAAATAAAATGGGTGGTTAAACATAGATATAAAGACTTTTCAGAACTACACGAATCTCTTGTCAATGATCATGGTGTTGCAAAAGACACTTTGCCACCAAAGAAAGTTATAAGGAACAAATGTCCAAATTTCATTGAAAAACGTAGAGAAGGACTGGAAGAATATTTGAAAAATCTTTTGGTTTATCTTCAGAAAACAATGCCGAGAGAATTTGCAACGTTTTTGGATATGGATAAATATGATATATTGTTTCTGCTGCAGAGCATGGCTATTAATTTTTTTAATAATGCCGAGACTTATTTGCAGAACTGCAAAAGTTTTAAGTTCACACCATTAGAGGTAATAGATAAAATTAATATCTAGTTGTAAGTATAAATAATCATAAGAATTAAGATTTAGTTGTCTATATAAAAATTTAGCTAATTATATTGAAAATAAGGGCTTCGTTTTTATCAAAAACTATTCAATGGTAATATCAATTGTTATCATTTGGACATAATTATAAAATCTTAATGTTTTAGAAATGTTTTTTAGTGTTATTTAAGAATAACCTCCAAAAGTTTAAAATGTATTTTTCTTATAAAGTAGTATAAATTTTATTTAATTTATATATATATATATATATATATATATATAATATATATATATATATACACATATATAATTTGTTTTTTCTATTTTATAAATATTTTTTTATTTGTTTTCAGCTCTATGCAATAAGTCAAAGATTACCCCGTCCATGTCCACCACTAGAGTTAACAGAAACACAATATGACTTCAGTCATATATTGGACTTCTGTTCACAATTAAAAGACGTCATTATCGAAGGCAGTGTGAATCAGAAATCCTTTCTGAAGACGAGTAATATAATTCCTAATGAGCTAACGTTTGAAATGTCAGTATTTAAAAATATACAAAAGTTGGAAGTTATCGGGATACCTATGGGAAATATATATAGTACAGGTAATAATAATATAGTCTTTAATTTTCATAATCTTGTACGATATATTAGTTGCTTTTTGGCAATTATAATTTCTATAGTACATTTTGCTTACTAATACTTTAATAAGCATTATTGTTTATGTTCAAATCTTAGGTGAATTAATTTGTAAAATCTAGTTCATATGAGCACTCTTCATATTGAATGCCAAACAAATGAATTTTTGACACATAAAACAAAATTCTAAATCATTTTTTTAATAAGTAGTAATATTTTTTTGTATTGTTAAATAATTTAGTACATTAAACCAAAATGCAACATGCATAAGTTTAAAAAAATAATGTATATGCAATTTTGGACTTGTCGCATTAATTATTAAACTTAATTATATAATTTCATCTGCCAAACATATACTGTTGACTGTATCTTGTATTATTTTAATTTCTGGCACATCTCAGCTGCTTTTCGGCAACAATAATGTAGACACTACATTTTTCTTGTATATTACATTCTAATATTATCTAGGTTCATAATTTCAGCTACAATCAAATTTTAAGTGAACTGACATTTCTAGCTTTAATGATAAGTGGTTTTTTGTAATTTTTACCATTCATTTCTGCAATATTACTATAGTGTAATAGTTCGTTAAATCTTAAAAAATTTTTTTGACAAACTCTGAAAAGAATTATCAACATCTGAATAACCGTTAGGAGAAGTATCAAATCGTACACCCGTACAGAAGAATTTTATATGTGAGATGGATAAACTATCTAGAACCCTCTTAGATCTTGACTAGATCTCTATAAGATTATGACAGAATGCTTATAAGATTTCCAGTAGATTGATATTAGATTTTAATCAGTTTTTTATTTGACTCGATGGAGATGCTCTAAAGTTCTTGCCAGATTTTCTCACTAGATCCATCGTGGATTCTCACCAGAATCCAATGAATTTGGATTTTTTAATTTGCACAATCTTTTTGAAAAACGACTTGATTAAATACTAGTACATATTATTGGCAAAGTTTTCATGATTAATATATTTTTTGTTAATTCAAGAATAAAACAACAGTTTGGAAGATTTAATTAATTTTTGCTTGAGCCACTGTGGCCCGGAAAATTTATATTTCTAATCTCCATATATATATAGATATTGCTTTTAGGTACTATGAGAGAAACATTAAGACATCTTTGTGTCAACAACACTGGTGCTGAGCACATTTATGATATTCTTCTTCCCGATGTTGTACATAAACAAGAATTTACTTCATCACATGTAAGATATTATTTATTTTTCATTTATCACTTATTTTTATCAAAGATTTATATTTAATGAATATATTTATAATAACTAGTTGAAAGTGGCATTTTGCCTTAAGGCAAGTTTCATGAAATTAAGATACTTAGATAAAATGTTTATTTCAAAAATAAAGTTATCGCTTTTAGTTCAATCTAAACATTGCGATTTCGAATAGAATTTTCTCAAACACACTTAAATTAACTGTAATTATATTAATTATATTGCATAGACACTATAGTGCTTGTATGTCCTAAAATTGTAATTTATTATTCAAAATTTTAATTAATTTATTTAATTCAACCAATTTTCGTAGGACTGTACAGTGCATGAACTTTATAGTCATGTTAAATTTTATTAAAAACGTCGAAACTTTTTTTGAGATTTTTATAACATCTGTTATAAGAGAATACTGGCACGATTATGTATATATTAAGTATGTAGTCCTTGATATTATTCGATGATTGAAATTAATGGTTTATGTATTTACAGAACTAGAGGAGTTTTTTTATTATTATATTATTATTTTTGCTAATCCCTTCCTTATCAAATTTATCCCAATAGCTTTTAAATTTGTGAAAATCAAATTTTGACTTATCGCAACTTCAAAGCGACTTTTGGAACAAATTTTGACTATCATCGTTTTTTTAAACATTGATGAATTTTAAAAATTAGGACTGTAATATTTTAGTATATTCTTTAGGATCATGATATCTATCAATATCAAAAGTTTGATCGAGTTTTTGTTTTCAATCGTTAAGTGTGAAGAAACGGCTCGTTTGTTCACACTTTGGCCAATCTTTGTCCAAAACTAATCAACGAGATCCCAAATAAATTTTTTTGAATATATTTTTAATATTTAAAATCGATTTCGAATTTTTGGTTAAAACGCGAACGAAAATTTTTTCACTTTTTTGCTAAGGGCGTCTATAAATCACGTGAGGTTTTTAAGAGAGGATTTTTTCAAAAAAATCCAAACATTTGAAAAAAAATCAAAATTTTACATTTTTTTCACATAACTAAAAATACACGAGATGTTTTGTGCGGGAGGGGGGATAATTTTGAATATTACCACGTATCACCAAGAAGAAAAGGGGGCCCAAAAATCCTCAAAATGTCGATCACGTGATTAATGGGCAACCTTAGCAAAAAAGTGGAAAAAAATTCGTTCACGTTTTAACCAAAAATTCTGAATCGATTTTGACAATTAAAAAATTATTCAGAAGATGTTATTTGTGATCGCGTTGATTAGTTTTGGACAAATATCGGCCGAGCCGTTTCTTCATAATTAATTAACGCCCCTTAATTACGAAAAAATGGCTCGGACGATCGTTGCGCAAATCGAATTACATCGAATGATTTTTAAATTTTTGAACTAGATTTAGCAGTTTTTGATTTTTTTGAAAAATCGTCACTAATGTTTTCAAACTTTGATGAATTTTTAAAATAAAACGACTTGTCGTGGGGGTTTAGTATGTTCTGTAAGACCATGATATCTATCGCAAAAAAAAATTATTAAAATCGTCGGATTTTTTTTTTCAACAGTTTATTACAAGAAAACGATCTTTGTCCAAAACTAATCAGTACGATTCCCAACCAATGTCTTTCGAACGGTTTTTGAATTTTCAAAATCGATTCAGAATTGCGGGCTAAAACGTGGACGAAACATTTTTCACTTTAATACCACATATTGCCACGCAAAATTAATAAACGCTAGTCCTCATCGAGATACATCGAATGGCTTTTAAATTTTTAAAATCGGTCCATCCGTTTTTGAGAAAACGTCGATTTATGGTCAAAAATCTGTTCACATACACACATACTTTTTCCAAATTCGGTCTCAAACGGACCTGAAACGTCGAGAAAACATAAAATTAGCGAATCGGATTTTTTGACGAAAACATAAACTCCTTCGGGAAGTTAATAAAAATCCCACTTACAACTAATTGATTAGACAATAACAATTGTTACATAAATATATTTCTATTTTCCAGACTTGGAAATCTCTCACCGAAGCAGACTTTAGTTACAACGAAATAAAAGACATAGACGACTCCATAAAACTGATGCCAAGTGTAAAAACTTTAAATCTTGTACACAACAAATTATCAGACGTTAAAAAAATATCGAATCTATCTCAACTACCTCAATTGTGCAATTTGAATCTATCCGAGAACCACTTCTACAGCTGTGCCGACTTGCATACAAGTCTGGGAAATATCGTTTGTTTAGATCTATCCCAGAATTTTATATCGAGCCTTTCAGGTTTAAGTAAATTGTACTCCCTAGAAAGCCTCGATGTTAGTTGTAATAAAATCACGGATATAAAAGAGATTGTCCACATCGGTAGTTTGCCGTGTTTGGAAAATGTTAGAATAACAGGCAATCCTTTATCCTGTATTGTTGATTATCGAGTCAAAGTCCTGGAGTTGTTTAATGCTCGAGCGAATGATATTAATTTAGATAATGAAAAACCGACTGTGCAGGAATTGGATAAGGTGAGGGTTTTGCAGGCTTTACGTATTGCTAAAGAGGGAATTGCACCTTCTTTTTCAAGTAATAATACCAGTTTGTTCCCGAATTTGGTAAGCAGTGGTTCTTGATAGTATTTAATAATAATAATAGTTAATTAGAAAAGGTAAAACAAATTTAGAAACGTGAATAATATATATTTATATAACGATTTTAATATGTACATATAATGATTGAGGAAGTACTAATTAGTAGAATTTTTAACAAAGTTAATAATGATTGTAAATAATAAATATTGTAATTAATATATTTTAATACTACAATATATTTATAACGTAAGCAACGCGTTTTATTTCAGAAAAATAGGAATATAACACGGTAAATTTCTGGAACTTCCCGACTCAACTTTCGTAGTTTATATATAAATGCTTATATTATTATATATATATACTAGATGACCCGACAGACGTTCTGTACCCACGTCTACAATTTTTTAATATCCCATACTAATATTTACCATTTACCTAAAAATAATAATAATTGTTATTCTAATTACTCCTTGCACTAAAATGCATATACATCAATATGAGCGATGTTAAATGTAGAACTGTTTTAGATAAAATGATGAGTCTCAATGCCCACATTATATTGGAAATTAAAGTCTTTTAAGCGGTATAACAAATTAAAAAAAAATTAATATATAGTATCCCTTTGGATGTTTCCACCCAAAATAATTGCTCCAATAATGTGCTCCTATAATTTTTATAATCTCGCGTATCTCAGCTGTTTTTTGGCAGTAATAATTTAGTCATTTCATTTTTCTTATTCATAATCATGAATTTATTATACATATAAATTGAAATTTTTGGCAGATAACAGTTTTCATTTGTTTTCAATGCCAAACAACGTCTCAAATATTTGCAATGGCAAACAATGAAATGCCGTTTTTTGCAATTTTTCCCATTTTTTTCTACATTATTACTATATTTTTATAATCACATCACAATCTAAACAATTCCTTTAACAAACTTCAGAAAGATTGATCAAAATCCGAATAATCGTTTAGGAGGAGTATATTTACATACATCATTACAGTAGAATTTTAAATAATTCAAACATTTAAATATCCCGCCATTCTTATTGTTAGTGAAGTGTTACGCAAGTTGCGTCATCTGCGCAAAATCGCTTCATTTTATTAAACTAAACGTCAAACATATATTGCACATGTGTTGCAAATCTTCAACGACAAACATTATTTTTTATAAAAATGTATATATTAATTTAATACATCACAAAATGTATCCTGTAGCTTAGTTTGTATAGAAATTTAGTGTTATAAATACAAGTGAATAATAAATTCAGTGATTATTTCTTGCAATGATTTTCGTGGAGCCGACATAACCTCAAAAAAGCATGTAAGTAAATGTCGCATGTTAATTTATAATTTTAATTTAATATACATACATATATATGGATGTATATGTATATTCATAAATATATAATAGCAAATAAGTTTATACATACATCCCAAACGATTAATAAAAGTATAAAAATATTATTAAGGTTTCCATACGTTTCATAGAGCATGTTTACTTTTCTTCAAAAAAAAAAACTTTTGAATTTCATTTCGTATATTATAGTTTACATACATCAAAAAAAAACTAGATAAAATTTACTAAAATCTGATAAACACTGATATATACACTTGGATATTGAAATTTTGTACAATTCGTAGTTGAAATTTGGATTTTAGTATTTTGATTAAGTACATTTTTTTCTTTTTCTCAAATAACTTTCAATTTTGATTTTGGACATTATAATTTTTAGGGAAAAGTCTATTTGTTTTTGGAAATACTAAAATCTACGAAAAATTTCTTATAGACTGTTTGCCTCATAGTGTGTGTATATTATTTTTAGTATAAACATTTATCAATAATCACACTAATTCTATTTTTTACCATACTTTTTGTATGGGGGTGTATAAAACAATTTATACAGTATTTTAGTAAATTTTATCTAGTTTTTGCTAAGCTAAATGAAAAAGTCTCTGGAACAAATTTTTATGTAAATTGAACAAACGTAAAAAAGTGTCCCGAATCCTTATATTGTTCAATGCATAAGGACGAGTTCACAGTAGTTTAATTTTTTCACAAAATAGTTTGTATCAGGCTATTGGGGCATATAAAAAAGTTTATACTAAATTTTAGTAAATTTTATCTAGTTTCTGCTAAATTAAATAAAAAGGAGTGTCTAGAACAAATTTTATGTAATTTAAAAAAGCGTAAAAGAGTGTCCCGAATCCATGTAATACTCACACAATAATTTCGTTTTTTCCCAAAAATTTGCACCAGACAGATAAAATATTAACTACAATAACCGAAAAATAATCACACTTTTATCAATGCTCTAAAAAGCTTATAATTTTCAAACTACTTCAGGTAAATTATTTTTCTAATTTTTTTTCATGATATTTAAGATAAATAATAAAATCCCATTTAGGCTTGTCGTTGAGTTCTGGGACCCTCTGTATACTTTTCATGTATCTATTTAAACACAAACATTTTATATTTAAACATAATTATAATTATTCAATTCATAAATTACATTTCTTCCTTTTCTATATCCTGTATAGAAATTAAATACATTTTTAATTCTTAATTCTAAAAGTTAGTATTTTACAAATATTTTAATACTTAAGGATATTTTATAATTAATAACTATTAACTGATATTTATAATATTCTAATTTTTACATTCGTAATGTTTTTAATTTAATTTAATTTAAATTAGTAAAATTATACTTTTGTTCTTCTAGTAAGTAATTTTTCAATGCACTTATATATATTTTTAGTTAAATGAAATGAAAATGCGACATTTTCATATATTTAATTTTTTTTCAATTCGAATATTTTTTTTTATAAATTATATATATATAGTTTATTGTACTATTATATATTTATCTCAATGTTTATCGAATAAAAATCCAGATGCACTGAAAAGGCCTTAATTCATATTGAAACGTATATGGTATGATTTATTATAATTCAATGGATAAATAATTTATTTTCACATACACATACACACACACACACACATATATATATATATATATATATATCATATATATATATATATATATATATATATATATATATATATATATATATATATATATATGATAGTTTCTTCGACGTTGAAACATATTTCAAAGTAACTAGCAGCCTATTTGTCGAATAAAAAAGTAATAACGTATTTAAGAACTTTTATTTATACGTTTCAACACCAGATGTGTGTCATCATTCAGCAACTACAATAAATTTTAGCATTTTACTGATATAAAACAAATATAAAATACTTATAAACGTAGAGAAACATTATACATACCACCAGAACAAAAACACTCAAAAAAATATTTTTTAAAAAATTAAACTTGTAACATATTAGCAAAGGACAATTTTTGAAAAAATAATGAGAAACTACAAAAACTTGTCCTGGTTGTATATATAATGTTTCTCTATGTTTATAATTATTTTATATTAGTAAAATGTTCAAATTTATTGTAGTTGCTGAATGATGACACGCATCTGGTGTCGAAACGTATAAATAAAAGTTTTTAAATACTTTTTTACATTTTTTATTTCGACGAATGGGTTGATAGTTACTTTGAAATATATATATATATATATATATATATATATATACTATTACTATTCAAACTATAAATTGCGATCAAGCATATGACTTTTTAACGGCTTTAATCATGTTTTTGGAGCTAATTAATTATTTAAAGTTGATTTTTTTTTGACCCACTTAAATACCATGTATTTCCCAAGTTCGATAATACTGAAATCGAATCTTTGTCGCCCACAAAAAACTTCGATAACGCCCTCATTTAAAAATTATGTATAATTCGTGTAAATATAAAATTAGACGTCTAAATCAGATGGGAAACATATTTTTTTATTTGTTATAAATCATATAAAACAGTTCTCCCTCCAAATTTTCCACAATTTTTAAAATAAATATTGTCCGGTCCGTCTAAAAACAAGATTTGAATATTGCGCCATGATTTTTTACCCATCTGGCGACGATTCATTCTAATGGGGTATACAATGTATACTATACATACATACATACATACATACTATTTCTCATCTTATCCATACATACTTAAGAAACAATTCTAATTTAACAAATATTACTTAATTGATTTTTCCATATATATCTCATACTTATATATTTTATTTATGCTCTTGTTCTATTTATTTTCTTTATGTTCCTATAATTTGATGATTAAACTAAATTTTAAGATTATTGTCCATTACCACTACACCAGAAACAGTACCAAAAGTTTCAACTGATTTTACCACTAAACAATTCGGTTTACCATCTAAGCTTCATAGTTGGGTAAAGGTCTTCCAAGTTCTACGACACCAGATCGTTGGAACGAATTTTGTGCATTTGCAGTCGTATTTTGAGCAGTCGCCTCTGTATATTCAGATGGTGGAATATCATCATCCAAATCATCACGTTCTTCTTCCTCATCGATGATACTGATATCACGAATGGAAGGACGATGACTTCTTCGCCAACCTGGAAAAAAGAAAATTTTCATAATTTAACACCTATAACACTTTTGGCTTGGTTATCTTTGTACCTTCTATGATTTGTGGTTGTCTGGTTTTCGTGAGCAACCTTGGTCCACTCAAAGAGATCAAAATTGCTCCTAATGGAGCTGTTACTATGATGCTCATTACGCAAACCATAAGGACGATTTCAGCCCTTCGTTTGTCTTCTTCAGATCCATTGTCTTGCAAAGTTGCCATTGCTACTGGACCAAGAGCTGCCTGGTAAAAAAGTATCACAAAGTCATAAATTTTTTTTGCATAGTTTTATTGTCAATCAAAATAATATACATTTAAGAGATTATCTCCTATGAGATATCTCTCTTTTTTTATTTTTGACATTTTATTTAAGATCGTATGGCCATTTTTTTTTTCAATCTTCGTGTGGGATATTCCTCGCTTAACTCTTTTAAATATAGGTTTGGGTGACCTGGTAGTTTTTCGTGGTATTTTTTGCTCCTTTCTTTTATCATCTCAATAATAGTTTTTATTTTTAGGTCTTTATGTAGGGTGTCATTTGCAACATACCAGGGTGCGTTCACAATGCATCTTAAAATTTTCGATTGCGATACTTGTATTTTTTTTTATATTTGAAAAGTCATAAAAATAGAA